AAAAAAAAAAAAAAAAAAAAGAATTAGTGTTATAGCTTTGAATGAATTAGCTAACAACGTAATGTAATGTTGTAGACATTAAAATTTATTATATTTTAAAAAAAATAGTAAATTGAAATAATTGGTATGATTTTTGGTTAATTATTCATAATTTAAAGGTAATAGGGTGTTGGGGGCAAGAAACTTTCCCTCCCTTTGAAATTGGCCTCTTCCTCCTAGAAATTGGATCATCACTTCTGAAATACAAATTCCCACTGAATTCGATTCCATCCCAAATCAGTTTCCGATTTGGGTTCTCATTAATTTCTATGCGCAATGGAGTGGAACCCAGAAACCCTACAGCTCCTTTCCCAGTGCTTTCTTCACACTCTCTCTCCCGCTCCTGAGCCCCGCCGCCGCGCCGAAGCCTCCCTTGCCGAAGCTGCCGACCGTCCCAACTACGGTCTTGCTGTTCTTCGCCTTGTCGCTGAACCATCTGTCGATGAACAGATCCGTCAAGCCGCCGCCGTCAACTTCAAAAACCATTTACGGCTCCGATGGCCATCCAATGTGTCGGACGACTCGAATGCTTCTTCTCTGCCTTCGATTCCCGACTCCGAGAAGGACCAAATCAAAGCCCTAATTGTGCCGCTTATGCTTTCGTCTACTCAGCGAATCCAGAGTCAGCTAAGCGAGGCTTTGGCTTTGATTAGTAAACACGACTTCCCGAAATCGTGGCCTTCCTTGCTTCCGGAGCTTGTCTTGAGTCTGCAGAAGGCGTCTCAGGCTTCCGATTATGCATCTGCTAACGGTATTCTTGGCACTGCTAATTCTATATTTAAGAAGTTTCGGTATCAATATAAAACCAATGATCTTTTGCTTGATTTGAAGTATTGCCTGGACAATTTTGCGGCTCCCTTGTTAGAAATTTTTCTCAAAACTGCTGCTTTAATTGATTCTGCTGTGACCTCGGGTGCTCCTGCGGCCACTCTCCGGCCCCTGTTCGAGTCTCAGAGGCTATGTTGTAGGATATTTTATTCCTTGAATTTTCAAGAGCTTCCCGAGTTCTTTGAGGATCATATGAAAGAGTGGATGGGTGAATTCCGGAAATATCTTACTATCAATTATCCTGCACTTGAAAGTAGTGGCAATGATGTGCTTGCTTTAGTTGATGAACTTCGTGCTGCAGTTTGCGAGAATATTAATCTTTATATGGAAAAAAACGAAGAGGAGTTTCAGGGGTACTTGAATGATTTTGCTCTTGCTGTCTGGGGCTTACTGGGGAATGTATCTCAGTCATCGAGTCGGGACCAGCTGGCTGTTACGGCCATGAAGTTTTTGACTACTGTTAGCACGAGTGTACACCACACCTTATTTGCAGGCGAGGGAGTGATACCTGAGATTTGTAAGAGCATAGTTATTCCCAATGTGAGGCTGAGGGATGACGACGAAGAACTATTTGAAATGAACTATGTTGAATTCATTAGGAGGGATATGGAAGGTAGCGATCTGGACACTAGAAGGAGGATAGCTTGTGAACTTCTTAAAGGAATTGCAACCAACTACAAACAGCAGGTGACGGACATGGTATCCTCTCAGATACAGCAATTGTTAAGTTCATTTGGGCTAAATCCTTCTCAGAATTGGAAAGATAAAGATTGTGCAATATATTTGGTTGTCTCACTTGCCACTAAGAAAGCTGGGGGCTCTTCTGTTTCAACTGATCTTGTAGATGTTCAGAATTTCTTTGCATCAGTAATCATTCCAGAATTGAAAAATTCAGACGTTAATGGTCTTCCAATGCTTAAGGCAGGTGCGCTCAAGTTCTTTGCTGTGTTCCGTAATCTGATATCAAAACCTGTTGCATTACAAATGTTTCCTGATTTGGTTCGGTTCCTTGGTTCTGAGTCAAATGTGGTTCATTCCTATGCTGCTATTTGTATTGAAAAATTGTTGCTGGTCAAGGAGGATTCAGGTGTGGCCAGGTATAACTCTATGGATATTGCTCCAACTTTTCCCGAGATGATGACTAAGCTCTTTAATGCCTTTAAATTTCCTGAATCTGAGGAGAACCAATACATTATGAAGTGTATAATGAGAGTTCTTGGAGTTGCTGACATACCTCGTGAGGTTGCAGGACCATGCATTGTTGGGTTGACTTCTATTTTAAATGAAGTATGCAGAAACCCAAAAAATCCTGTTTTCAACCACTACATGTTTGAATCTGTGGCTCTTCTCATTAGAAGGGCTTGCGAAAGGGATCCTTCTTTAATATCAGCCTTTGAGGCTAGCCTGTTTCCCAGCCTTCAAATGATACTGGCCAATGATGTTACCGAGTTCTTCCCATACGCCTTTCAACTGTTAGCACAGCTTGTGGAATTGAATAATCCTCCTATTCCACCGAGCTACATGCAGATTTTTGAGATCCTATTGTCACCTGAATCTTGGAAAAGAGCCTCTAATGTCCCAGCACTTGTTCGGTTACTTCAAGCTTTCCTTCAGAAGGCACCTCATGAACTTAACCAAGGTGGGCGCCTGACACAGGTTCTTGGAATATTTAGTAATCTGGTCTCATCTCCAAACACTGCAGATCAAGGCTTTTATGTGCTCAACACTGTTATTGAATCTCTTGAATATAGTGTGATTGAACAGTACATTGGCCACATCTGGGCTGTTCTTTTTGGACAGCTCCAAAGTAGACGGACAGTAAAGTTCATCAAGTCACTTTTGATATTTATGTCCCTTTTTCTTGTTAAAAATGGTCATAAAAATCTTTTGGATACGATCAACAGTGTTCAGAATGGCATATTTATCCAAATCTTGAAGCAATTTTGGATACCTAATCTTAAACTGATAACTGGGGCCATTGAGCTTAAGTTAACTGCAGTTGCTTCAACCAGACTTATCTGCGAGTGTCCAGCACTTTTGGATGCTGCATTTACTGAAGACTGGGGGAAAATGCTGGATAGCATTGTTACCCTTCTTTCTCGACCCGAACAGGAAAGGGTTGACGACGAGCCAGAGATGCCCGACATTGCTGAAAATGCTGGTTATAGTGCAAGCTTTGTTCGCCTATACAATGCAGGGAAGAGGGAAGATGATCCTCTGAAAGATATAAAGGATCCGAAGCAATTTCTCGTAGCATCTTTGTCGAAGCTTTCTGCTCTTTCTCCTGGGAGGTATCCCCAAGTCATTAGTCAGTATCTTGACCCGACAAATCAAGCTGCACTGCTTCAGTTTTGCAGATCTTATAATTGCCCGATAGCTTGAGTAAGTTATTTAATCCTGTGGGTTGTGATTGTTAACAAGTTTATATATCAGGCACGTGTTTGTGTTTTACACTATTTGTGTTATTAATCTCTAAAGTGTTAACATCACCCTGTATCTAACGTGTACTCCTGCAACCTTTCAGGAGTTTGTGCTGAATTGAAGCAGGTTTTGGTGAACAAGTTAATCTTTAAACTTATTCATCTCTTGGCGTTATTCCATTTGGTGGCCTATTCAAGTTTCATATCATCGTGTACTTCCACAGTTGTGGAAATGGTCGGTCAGGCGAATCAAACATGATTTACAAAGTTTTGGTACAACACTTCCTTCCTTCATCCTCTTTTTATGTGGTCAGTTCAAGTGTCTGTCATGTTGTGCATGCAGAGTCAGTCATGATCAAAGCATAGATGTTCATTGCGGTCTAAGAGTTGTACTGTTGGCATCGAGTTTTCCTCTCCCTTTTGCTTCTATTCTGAAATTTTCTCTTGTCATTTTGACATCACATGTAAACAAACACTTGTTATCTCATTGCTGTGATATTCAACTGCAAGTTCATATACACATCAGTTGGGTTATTGTGGTTGCTGTAGAAAGATTACTTTTTTGCAACCTTCACGTTCTTATCTGCATTTTATCTGGATGATTAGAAGTAATTACATTTTTTGGTTGTTTGAAATTTATGATAATAAAAGGTTAAATTACAAATATTTATCAGAAATAAAATTACACATTAAAAAATCTATTAAATAGTTTTCTCGTGGAAACTACAGAAAGAGCCTCTTAAACTAGGTTTTGACTAATTATATTATAGACCTCTTAACCAAACTAAACCGGAGAATGTTTTTACAAATGAGATCATATCTCGACAGGTTTTCATGAATTGGGTTGCTGATTCAGACAATTTAAATAGAGTTCATTGGTTAACCCAACTTAATCCTCTATTTTTGAGTTGAGTTGGGTTGTCGGGTTTTCTTTATTATTACTTTTAATTATTGTTATTATTTTTTTTGTAATTTAGCCACAAGGTTATCTTCTTGATCGGAAAAGAAAGGAGGCAAGAGACGAGAGAAGCAAAGAGAATAGGTTAATCGAGTCCACTTCATGAAGCGACTCATGGACAGTACCGCTCTCTCAAGCAATACCCCCTCGCCAATAGCCACCACCACCTGCTTTTCTTGTCCTTTCAGAGTTCTTAAAAGCTAAAAAGTGATGTGGGAGAATATTAGACTTTAGTCCCTAGAATTTGTCTTTACAGCAATTTGATTGCTTCTAAGAACTTCACGTATGAAGTAAAATGAAGCAGAAAAGCTAAAGAATCGAAACAGAGATATATTACTTGGATCTGTTAGCTCAAATATGATCCTCATAATATACAAACAACATTCTACATATTGCAAATCTATGCTACACAGATACACAAACAGAGCTTATACTTCATTCAGAGTACGTACCCTTCTCAATTCATCCTTCATTCTAAAATCTAGGCCTACAAAGAAGGAAGCATCCACCCTACAGTCCACCCCAGAAGCAATCCTGCACTCACCAGGCTCAATCCTACAGCTATGGCAACCGCATAAGTCGAAATATCATTCCCATGCCGATCCCGCTTGATTCTTTTCTGCCTCGTGAATCTCCGCCTATTCTTGTAAGGCATCCATGGAAGACCCATTGGAAAAAGAGTGGACATTGGGTGATCATTGTTCTTATTCTGCAGGCTTTCTAGTTGCAGCAGTTGAAACCATTGCTTATATGCAAAGAGTTGGGATGCTTGTCTGAAGAACAGCTCAAATATATGCTCCTTTTCGGCATGAGCTTGCTTTGCTGCAAGCTCAGCTTCCCTCGCACGGGTTTGAGAATGAAGCAGTGCATCCATTAGCTCAGCTTTGCTAGCATTGTCTTCAGAAGTTTGTGTTGTTTTTGTCAAATTGTTGGGAATTGTACAACTGCACACAACACAGGAGTTCCAGTTATATCGTAGTATCAATCCATGCATTCGACTCGACTATTTAACTTGGCAAAAAAAACTGTTCTGAAAGAATGGCAATGGTCATTTATCATATATTTTAGTCTAAGATGAGAGAATACTTAAGAATTTAATCTATCTCAACAAAGTTGCAGATCAGGAAATCATAGAAATACAGTAACCAGGAATTCACATTGTACCTCAAAGATTTTTGAGCTCCACGCAGCAAGATCCCTTGCTCAGTTGATTCACCCGGTTCTCTCTGTGTTTTGCCANACTATGTAAAAGTGATTTTTTAAGATTTAATTAAGATATACAAATTAAATGTTTAAAAATAAATATTTTACCCAATAACATTTTTCCTCGTTATTAAAAATAAATTAAATAAACTACTAAAAAAATAACTTAAATTAATGTAGTTATTGAGTTGAGTTCGTTACTTAATAAAAGTTATTTTAAATAAAAAAAATCACAATTTAAATAACTATTAAGTATAAAAAAAATTATCTAACTCGACTTACGAACATTCTTACTCGTGCAAGTAGTCTAAAACCACAAAGTAACAATGGAAGAATGGGGAAGACTGAATTTTGATTCCCATGGTCGAGATTTTTCGGGAAGAATAAAAGGACGGTTGAAAATATATTTTTTCTCCGCCTTTTGACACAAATAAGCTTAGAATGGTAATTGATTTATATTATTTAAATAACTAAAAGACAAAAAAATATATATATATATATATATATATATATATATAACTTTTTGAATCCGATAAAATTAAATCGGATTCTTAATTAGCATCTTTGTTGTTATTATCCCCTATTTTTTTAGCTCGGTTTTATAAAACTCAACTATCGAGCTATACACTACGCATAAACTTATCACAAAATAGAGATTCTACATAATTCAAAAATTAACACCTCAACAAAATCTAAACAGATAGTGCTTAAAAAAAAAAAATCAAAATCACTTTAATGTTCGGCGAGAACGTACTTGTATAGTAATGCTCGATCGTACATAGCACATTTCAAAAACACAACGATTTATTATTGAAAACGATTTAAATACGCCTTTTATTACATGCATATACAAATTCTGGGTACAAAATTGAGTGGTCGACTCTAAAAGGATAATAAAGTATTCTTTAATTAAAAATGGTGGAAACAAAATAAATTATATATTTATTTATTTGCAGGGTTTGAGGTCACACATGTTTTTTTAATGTTTCATCCAACTTGGCTGCCATTTTAATGGAGTACAATATAAGGTAAGCCCCAAGAAATTGATCCCCCACCAAACTTATCTCCTTTCTATTTATTTTATTTTTTAATTTTAAATTTTAAATTTTATTAATATTATTTATAATTACGGTCTGTTTTTTAAAATTTTTAAATGTAATGTTTGAGATATTAAACTAATAAAAATTGATTATATAAATAGGTGTTTATTAACTTGCTTTTTGGTTTTATAATAATAAAAAAAAAAGGAAAGTAAATGAAATTGATTTAATTTTCATGTCATTTTTTTTTTTAAAGGTAATTTGATTAAAGGATTGGAATAAATAAAAGAAAAAAAAAAAAGAATAAGATTCCTCCTTTTGACTTAATTCACCAAATAGTCTGATAAAGCTTTAATCCTGATTGACTAAACAAAAGTTGATTAGAAATCCCATTTTGAAAAAAGACTACAAATATAAATATTTTGTCCTTTTTATTATTTTATTTAAAATTAATATTTTTTTCCTTTTTTTAAGATCAGATTTTATATGTAAAATATAATTAATTAATTAAAAATTTGATATTAAAATGTTCCCAATAATATATGGAAATGAGAATATATTTGAAATATATATATATATATAATTTGGTATAAATATGGTTAAAATTAAAGCAAAATAAAATTGCTAGAAATTTCAATTTTCCACCGACCGACATGTCGTACTTGTACTTTGTACCGCGTCAGGTCACACGCTTCGCGACACTCCCAACTCTCTTGGTCATTGTGAAGTTGGATAAGAAGGATAAAATATATAAAACAAAAGCTTTTTTTCCGTATATATATAAAACTAAAACATCCATTAATTATTATTTATTATTATTATTTTATATTATTTTCATTACAATACCATCAGTTTAAAAAAAATCATTTTTTTAATAGTTAAAATTATTTAAATTGCCTAAAAAAATCACTATTGAAATTAATTTTTGAAGTTAATTAATAAAATGTAATATTTAAAACTTAAGACCAAAATTATGAATATACATATAATTAAATAAAATTTAGATTTATAAAGGATAAGCTTTATTTTGTAAGGCGAGTTCATAAAAACGTGTTGCTAATTGTGAAACTACGCGACTAAGAATCGTGTACATCACATCCCTAAAGCTGCAAAGTAATACGAGTAAAATTATAGAACATGCGCTTTGATCGCGAGTGACCGACTTAGAGGGAACAAATTAAGTTTTACGAGATCCAGATAAGCGGTTCACGCAATAAAGTTGGCTTCGTCACAAAACAAAACGAACACGTTTTACATTGTGCATGTTGTCCACGTGTTTCTAGTGAAGTGGGACCGCCACGACGTGACAAAATCAGAAGGCGGGTCATGGGATAACATTTTTCCGGTATGGAAAAGAAGAAGAAAAAAACAAGAAAAAAAAAAGACATAAATGCTAATTTCTAACCATTAATTATTTTAATGTGGAAATGTATCAAATACAATAAAATATTTATGTTCTATATTAAATATATGTAACCTACTAAATATTAATTTAAATACATTTATATTTAATAAATTAAATAATTATTTTTGTATCTGAGGTATATAATATATTAAATATTAATTTTAATATTTAAAATTACATATATTTTCTCACCTAACATATTAAGTATTAATTTCAACCTTTCACATTTTTCTTGTTTAGGTTAAATTCATTCTTCTAATTTTACGACGAGACTAGCTTAATTAACTCTTTAATTAATTAATTTTTAATTTTATTAATTTGTTATACATCACTTATAAAATTATAGTTAAACTCTTATTCGTGTCCATTCATATAATCACTACAAACAGATGGATCTATAAAGATTTGTTTGTAATTATTTAAATATTCAATTTTTAAACAATAAATATAATTTTTTTTTCTATATCAAATTCATCTATTTACTCCAAATTATATCAATTTTATTTTTTCAAGAAAATGTTGTTTCAACATTAAATAATAAATTAAAATTAATAGTAATAATACAATTGGAAGCTACAATATTCTTACCTATTTAAATACATATGTTTAAGGTCATAAACATCTAACTCTTAAATATTCCACGTGTAAAGACATGTAGTCCAAATAGATAGTACACATCCGTCATGTTTTAGCATATTTTCATTATTTAAATCATTTATAACCTTTTACAAAAAAAAAAAAAATGTCTTAGTTCATAAAATTATTTATTTATTTAAATATTAAATATAACTTAACTCAAATGATTTAATAACTTAAATTTTCGAAGACAAAATAATATTAATAAATAAATAAAATACTCCAAACCCAATAACAAAAGAGCATCTCATTTAATTTAATTTAATTTTTTATTATTGAAATGTAATATTTCTGGTTGGAAACATAGTCACGACACATGAAACACGTGCGACCAACAAATCTATCTCATTTTCAGCAATCTTCATAAAGCTGCAAAACTGAAGCCACGTTAATACGGAGACGACCAATTTGTTTGTTTGTATTTATTTATTTTTAAATAAATTCAGAAAATGATTTTATTATTTAAAGAAAATAAAAAAGTTAGGATAATTGGTGTGCCACGTTTCAGATTGTGATTGGAGGAATGGGGTAGTTATTATATATAAAAGCTTTGATGCTTCCAAAGCGTCAAATAAAACCAACTGCCCCTTCACGTGGTACGCACGGATACAAACAAATCCCGGGACCCACATCAATTTCATTTTTTCTTTTCTTTTTTTGAAATAATCACACAAATGCTTATTTATTTAAATGAGGAAATATAATTATTAATTTTTTTTTTTTCTTCTTGGGTGGAGAAAAAACCCACGCGGCTCACGTGGTAATAATAGAAAGTGGACGTGAGAAGTTGCGTGGTTAAGATGGTATTTAGGGAAGGTGGACCCCGCAGTGCTGTTGATGACGTCATCGCCCAGTCTGTAATTTTCTAATTTGTCATTTTCTCCCCCACTTTATTTCCAATTTTCAAATCCACCCCACACGCCTTCTGTTTCTTATAACTCCGACACAACGTGTGTGCCCAACCTCCAAATACCCACTCAAATGTGCCAACTTCATAATTAATTTCAGCAGGGTCCTGGGCCGCTAGTGAATTGGGCCTCTGGGTTTTCAACAGCCCATTAAAGCTGGTGTGGAGCCTGGAGGCCAGGCCCATTATCCACTAGATTGGACAGATACCCTGTCGGCCCAAATTATTGATTGGGCCACACGGAGGGGATTTCTAAATTCCGACTGTTCAATGCAATTATTTTAAATAATTTCAGCCCAATCATACCAAATAATTTAAAAAAACTCTTATTTATTTTTTATTTTTGTAAAGATAGAGATAAAAAAAAAAAAAAAAAAAAAGAATTAGTGTTATAGCTTTGAATGAATTAGCTAACAACGTAATGTAATGTTGTAGACATTAAAATTTATTATATTTTAAAAAAATAGTAAATTGAAATAATTGGTATGATTTTTGGTTAATTATTCATAATTTAAAGGTAATAGGGTGTTGGGGGCAAGAAACTTTCCCTCCCTTTGAAATTGGCCTCTTCCTCCTAGAAATTGGATCATCACTTCTGAAATACAAATTCCCACTGAATTCGATTCCATCCCAAATCAGTTTCCGATTTGGGTTCTCATTAATTTCTATGCGCAATGGAGTGGAACCCAGAAACCCTACAGCTCCTTTCCCAGTGCTTTCTTCACACTCTCTCTCCCGCTCCTGAGCCCCGCCGCCGCGCCGAAGCCTCCCTTGCCGAAGCTGCCGACCGTCCCAACTACGGTCTTGCTGTTCTTCGCCTTGTCGCTGAACCATCTGTCGATGAACAGATCCGTCAAGCCGCCGCCGTCAACTTCAAAAACCATTTACGGCTCCGATGGCCATCCAATGTGTCGGACGACTCGAATGCTTCTTCTCTGCCTTCGATTCCCGACTCCGAGAAGGACCAAATCAAAGCCCTAATTGTGCCGCTTATGCTTTCGTCTACTCAGCGAATCCAGAGTCAG